TTGTAAATGTACTTACTTAGAAACTCAGAAATTATCAGTTATATTAAGAAGAAGTGATTTAGAGGTTATTATCAATATATCTATCTTTCAAGTTTGGTGTTCATCTTCTTCATTTCACAACACGTTATCAGCACGAATCTGCTCAAAAATTCTTCAAGAAATCATCCTCTCCTGCAGATATGAATCACACAAGTGATAAAGAGCTATGTTTGATAGACAGCGCCACAACGCACACCATTTTGAGGAATAAAATCTATTTTTCTCAAATGACTTTAGTTGAGGCTAAAGTCAATACTATATCAGGTGTTGCGAAGCTCATTGAAGGCTCTGGGAAAGCATATGTGATGCTCCCTAACGGGACAAAAATAATTATAAATGACGCTCTATACTCCAGCAAATCGCGGAGAAATCTATTGAGTTTTAAAGATATGCGTCAAAATGGTTATCACATTGAAACCATGAATGAAAACCAAAAGGAATATCTTTGTCTTACGACAACTAAATCTGGCACTAAATGTATTTGTGAAAAATTGCCAGCATATTCCTCAGGACTATATTTCACTTATATTAGTCCATTTGAAATAAATTTGGTTTCTAACGCAAAGTTAGATGATCAGAAAACATTCATGTTGTGGCATGACCGTTTAGGTCACCCAGGCCATGTAATGATGCATAAAATCATTAAGACTTCACTTGGACACCCATTAAAGAATATCAGGGTTCCATTATCAAGTGATTTTCCTTGTAATGCCTGTTCTCTTGGCAAAATGATCATCAGGCCTTCTAAGACCAAAATTGCAACTGAATCACCTGCATTTTTAGAAAGGATTCAAGGAGATATTTGTGGGCCGATTGCCCCTCCATGTGGACCATTTCGATATTTTATGGTGTTGATTGATGCTTCAACACGTTGGTCACATGTAAGTCTTTTATCGACTAGAAATTTAGCATTTGCTAAACTCCTTGCTCAAATCATACGATTACGAGCTCATTTTCCGGATCATTCTATAAAAAGAATCCGACTTGATAATGCAGGAGAATTTACTTCCCAATCATTTAACGACTATTGTATGTCGATTGGGATTGATGTGGAGCACCCTGTTGCTCATGTCCATACACAAAATGGTCTTGCTGAATCTTTGATTAAACGAATACAATTAATCGCTAGACCATTATTAATGAAGTGTAATTTACCTTCATCAGCTTGGGGACATGCTATTTTGCATGCAGCAAATTTAATTCGGCTTAGACCGACTGCATATCATGAATATTCCCCAATGCAATTAGTTACTGGACAAGAGCCAAACTTAGCACACATAAAAATATTTGGTTGTGCTGTTTATGTTCCGATTGCTCCACCGCATCGTACAAAAATGGGTCCTCAAAGAAGGTTGGGAATTTACGTTGGATTTGAATCTCCCTCAATAATCAAATATCTTGAACCGATGACTGGTGACTTATTCACCGCACGGTTCGCTGACTGTCATTTCAATGAGACAGTATTCCCAACCTTAGGGGGAGAAACTAATAAATCGGACCCAAGTACGAAAGAAATAACATGGAATGCAACAGGATTATCACACCTTGATTCTAGATCAAATATATGTGAGCAAGAGGTGCAAAAGATAATCCATTTACAAAATGTTGCAAATCAGTTGCCTGATGCATTCACAGACACAAAGAAAGTGACAAAGTCACATATTCCTGCTATGAATGCCCCTGCCAGAATTGAAATTCCAGCGGAGAATTCTGAAAAATCTCTCGCAAATGATTCTTCTATACGCAAAAAGCGTGGCAGGCCACTTGGATCAAAAGACATAAAACCAAGAAAGACTAAAAGGCAGGAATTGATCTGTGATGCCAAAGATGTTCATCCTTCTGAACAAGAAAATGAACAATTTGAAAATACTGGCATAGAAAATGATATTGACAAAACAAACATCTCAAATAATGATTCAACTTCCTTAAATGAGGAAGATATTCCAGATACTGATAGAAACGTTGATAATTATGAAATTTCAATAAATTACGTTTCTACTGGAATGCAATGGAATCGAAAAAATATTGATATTAATGAGATATTTGTCTATGCCGTTGCCACAAATGTTATGAATGAAAACAATGACAATGAACCAACATCAATAGAAGAATGTCGGAAACGACACGATTGGCCAAAATGGAATGAAGCTTTTCAGGCTGAATTAAAATCACTTGAAAAACGTGATGTTTTTGGACCGATAGTCCCTACGCCAAAAGGCGTAAAACCTGTGGGTTTTAAATGGGTATTTGTGCGTAAACGCAATGAAAAGAATGAAATTGTTAGATATAAAGCCCGACTTGTTGCCCAAGGTTTTTCTCAAATGCCGGGAATTGATTATGAAGAAACCTATTCTCCAGTAGTGGATGCAACTACATTAAGGTTTCTCATTGGCATGTCTGTTTTTGAAAGGCTGCAAATGCGCCTAATGGATGTAGTGACCGCATATTTATACGGTTCACTTGATACAGACATTTACATGAAAGTTCCCGGTGGGTTTAAAATGCCTGAAGCTTATAGCTCGAAACCTCGAGACATGTTTTCCATTAAATTACAAAAGTCATTGTATGGACTAAAACAATCTGGACGAATGTGGTATAATCGTCTCAGTGAATATCTTCTCAAAGAAGGATATAAGAATGACCCAATTAGTCCATGTGTTTTCATTCGGCGATCAAATTTTGGATTCGCCATAATTGCAGTATATGTTGATGACTTAAACATTATTGGAACTCCCGATGAAATTGAAAATACTGCAAAATATCTTATGAAAGAATTTGAAATGAAAGATCTCGGGAGAACCAAATTTTGTCTCGGGCTTCAAATTGAGCATTTGAAGAATGGAATTTTCATCCACCAATCCAATTACACCGAGAAAGTGTTGAAGAGATTCTATATGGACAAAGCTCATCCTTTGACTTCACCAATGGTCATTCGATCTCTCAACATACACGATGATCCATTCCGTCCCCGAGAAGACGACGAAGAAATACTCGGTCCCGAAGTACCATATCTGAGTGCTATTGGAGCTTTAATGTATTTAGCTAATAATACTAGACCAGATATTGCATTTTCTGTAAATTTATTAGCTAGGTACAGTTCATGCCCAACAAGACGTCATTGGAACGGGATCAAACACATATTCCGTTATCTCCGTGGTACAGTTGATCTCGGCCTATTCTACCACAAAGATGCAAAAGCTTCTTTAATCGGATATGCAGACGCTGGATACTTATCAGATCCTCAAAAGGCAAAATCACAAACCGGGTACGTATTTACTTATGGTAATACCGCAATCTCTTGGAGATCTATGAAACAGACGTTGACAGCTACATCATCAAATCATTCGGAGTTAATTGCACTTTATGAAACCGGGAGGGAATGCGTGTGGCTGCGATCTATGATTCAACACATCCAAAATGAATGCGATATAAAGCCTATTACTTGTCACCCGACAGTGATCTACGAAGACAACACTGCGTGCATAGCTCAGATTAAAGAAGGCTACATCAAAGGTGACAGAACAAAACACATATCACCAAAATTCTTCTCTACTCATGATCTGGAGAAAGAAGGGACGATCAACATTCAACAAATCAGATCCAGTGAAAATCCAGCCGATCTCTTCACCAAATCTTTACCCCCGAAGAAGTTCATGGAACTTGTACAGAAAATCGGCATGCGACGTCTTCATAATTTATACTAAATTCAGGGGGAGTATTTGAATGCACTGCACTCTTTTTCCCTTCATCAGGTTTTTATCCCACTGGGTTTTTCCTGATAAGGTTTTTAACGAGACAGTACATCCAAATACAATGACATTATAAGTCGTAATTTTTACCCCTTAATTTCACAACAAGTTTTTAAATAACAAATAACTATTCAAGGATGAACATTCAAGGGGGAGTGTTGTAAACTCCTGAGAATGACAAGTGTGAATTGTTCATCCTTGTCATCAGGACACTAATCCAATTTCCATCCTTGTAATAAACAGATGGCTAGGTTTAATGTTGCCAGCATATTATGTAGAATGATTCTTTGATGATTCATCACCAAGCTCCATCAGTATAAATAGGGGTTTGGTGATGCCTTGTAAATGTACTTACTTAGAAACTCAGAAATTATCAGTTATATTAAGAAGAAGTGATTTAGAGGTTATTATCAATATATCTATCTTTCAAGTTTGGTGTTCATCTTCTTCATTTCACAACACGTTTCGTTTTATTGTATAAATCAGTTTACAGGACTACTGACAAATCAATTCAAAAATTGATGTCATTTTATTAGTATAACTAAACAACACACAAACCCAATAATAATACATCCCAGACCACATTGTTACTGGGCCTTAAAAGCAGCCCAAAAATGACAACCCATTAAGTGGAGCGTTTATAACCCGAAGCTGAAAGCGACATCCTTCTCATAACCACTCGATTCAGTTAGCCGACAAATGCAGACCTCTCTCCCATTGACTACGACGCCACCGAACAATCGTTTATTCAAGCGCTGGGAAGGGAACCCTCACACATCAGACACACATTTTCAGCACAAATTCCAGCCGGAATCCACAACCGTCCATGCAGGCAGAGGAACCGGCACAAACTCGGTCGCGGAAGACCAAACGGGCAACGGTATAATCTGCAGATACCCTCTAGCTACTACACATCACAATCTGTTGATGACACATTTTGTAATGAACCAACAGTCTGAACTGTTTTTTTTGGTGTTCAATTCTTCAACTCATTTTTCAATATATTTCTTGTATGCTATTTGCTATTAGATCGTACGTCAATGTGAGAAGGATGTGAAAAAGTTTGCTGTTGCCGCTATGCTTTTATAGTGAAACAGGTAGGTACGAAAGATAGCATGTACCATACCCATTTACTGTATGACCACCCTTTTCCACCAATACAAATCAAGGAAGGCCAGCATCCTATAACATATTTTATTGAACAGTACCCACCACCCTTTTGGCCCAATAGCAGCTTTCAATATTTTTTTTATATATAAACTACGCTCACCTCACTCTTCTGCCTATAGGAATGGGGTTTCCAAATAATTGTAATGGCGGCTGGAGCCAAATCGTTGCAATACATTATTTTACGAATACAATAATTTAGCACTGAAGTCGACGTTTATGGGCGGGAAAACTGTGCGTTAAAAATCTTTTCCTTTTAGATTAAGGTAGATTTCTGCCTCACCCAGTCACGTACCCCGCCCCAGCCCCGCGCCCCATCCGCTTTGCGGCCTGGTAGTTCTTCTCACTTCTCAGCTTCTCGGAGTTTTGGCTGCCATCTGCAGTTCAGCTCATCGGCTCAACAACCCCAGCGGCCTAGTAGGTTAGTTAAGTGGCCGGTATTCTTTATTTTTTATTTTGAATTACGTACATAGCTAATATCTTAAAAATTGCTATCTTGATTTTTAAATGTTCTGTTTGAGTGCTTAATTGTTTTAGTTTTTAAGTGTTTCGCTAATGTGAATTTAACCATGTCAATATGTTTTACGATTGGTGAATCATTTGTCATACTCCGTATTCTAATTTAACCTTTTAGCGGTCTTCTTACAATAATCCCACCTTTTGATTATTCATGAATAATCCAACCTTTGCACCTCATCTTCATTCACTGGTCCCTGACCGGTTGATGGCCTACTATTCCAAGTTATTTTCTTATCTTTGCAAACCATTATACCATAAATCTCACCTTTCACAAAGATAATATTTTGCAAAGATAAGAAAATAACTTGGAATAGTAGGTCATCAACCGGTCAGGGACCAGTGAATGAAGATGAGGTGCAAAGGTTGGATTATTCATGAATAATCAAAAGGTGGGACTATTGTAAGAAGACCGCTAAAAGGTTGGATTATTAGTTTCCATTTTCCCTTTGTGAAATTAAGAATTAGGATGGTCAATTTCTAAACATATTAATAAAACATACTATGTACTATGTATGTGATTGAAAATAGTACTCTTTATACTGATTATTTTATTAATTTTTATCAATTTAAGCAGGTATGACTACCCAATGTACTTCAAAAAAGGCAAAAATAATATTGCTTCGTTTTGAAGCCCGCAAGTACACAAAACGGACAAGAGTTAAATAAAAACTTCATTGAAATTCCAAATATTTCAGCCGCTAAAAAAAAATGAAAAATCATTGCATTCGTTTTTTAAACCTACTACAATATAAATTGTAATGAATTTTAATCATTTTATTCGAACTATATACTAGTTTAAATTTTGACATAGCGTTTTTTTAGTTTACCTCCGGTCCACCCTGAATGTTGGTTATGGCTCCGCCCCTTAAGATGGTGTTTCCTGTTTCACATTTCAGCACGCCTCCTACACTTCCGTGCAACATAGATGGCATTATTGTATTACTCCCTCCGCCCCCTAATATTGGGACGGAAGAGAGTGAGGTAGTTTTTAAGAAAAGTAGATTTATGTGGTTCATACTGACTTAATGAGTTGATAAAGTGAGAATAAAGTAAGAATGAATTAGAGCCACACAAATGTTACCAATATGGTATGAGACAATAATAGGGGACATCCAAAAATGAAAAAATGGGACAATTAAGGGGGACGGAGGCAGGGGCGGACCGTTCAAAGGTGTTCACGTGAACACCCAGAATTTTCCAAAAAAATTAAAAACGACGTCGTTTTGTGCGTTTAACTAAAAAATTAAAACTCCGCCGATTTGCCTTTACTGCTATGTCGTATCCCAGAAGGTTGAAAGCCAGAATTCAGAAGCAGATCGGAGAAGCCCAAACCTGTTTTGCTTCGTTCCAATTTCAAACGACCAGTGCCGCTAGGTCTTCTCACAAAGTCACAAATCACGCAGCAAGTCAGTCCCGCACTCCCGCTCCCGGCTTGAGACTTCCAGTACTTCACCGCAGCACTGTCTCGACACAATCTGCAACCACCGCTCCTCTGCCGCTGCCGCTCTGCTACGGCGCTAGGCGCATGCGGACTCGCCACTCACGCCTCAGCCAAGACAGCCAACTGAGCTAAGCACTCGGTAAATTTCTAAATTGGATTTCTACTTGTCTGTTGGTAACAATTGTACTCCGTATGTCGGTAGGTGTAATTTGTATTTTGACATTTTGGGAAAAAAGATGATATTCCGTAAATGATAAATTGATCATGTCAGATTCAATATTGATATGTTTCTTTCAAGTTACAAACTTACCCCTTTTTTGATAATTAATATACTAAAAAGTACAAACAAAACATACTAAATGACCTGGTTGTCTGGCAGTTCAGCACTTTGTTAAGTTTGGTCCCTGGCAGACTTGAGAATCGAAGTGGCAGTAATGAAGAACTTTTAGATTATTTTCAGAAAAACACGAGCATTAGGAAAAATAAGTTAATGTAGTACTTTTATTATACTTTATTAATATACTATGCTTTGGTTTGCAATGTAAGGCTTTCTTATCGACAAATATGCAATTGTTGAATTACATGATCATTGTGATAATTTTAATTTTAATTTAGTTTCGAACACCCAAAACCTGAGGTCTAGATCCGCCACTGGACGGAGGGAGTATTATTTTTTAATGAAAACCAATTATTTACTTGCACACTTAAATCAAATTCCAATGTAGTTACATATGTAAAATTGAAAGCACCAGTTTCGCGAGCCAGCAATATTAATCTTAATAATCTAGATTTTTTGAATTTACAGTTTAGATTAAACAATTAGCAATGAGATGCCAATGCATTATTATTTGCGGTCAACTATGTTCAAGAAAGGTTAGTGGATTACTAATATTAATCGTCCAGCATGAGACGCTTGAAGAGATTGATTTTGAAGCTATGATTGACGATTTTGCTTCACAATCTTGTATGAAAGATGTTTTTAAATTTTACATTTATGTTTTAGCTTTAATTGTTATTTGTGGTGCTATTTTTATTTATATATGCAACTTATCAGATGAAAGGTATTACTATTATTATATCTTTTAACATAGTTTTATCATATTCAATACTATGACAAAGTATGAAATATAAAAAAATTGAGAAAAAAGTCAAAGAGTTTTGCTCTGTCCTGACAAACAGGAAGGCCCTGTCTCAGTCAACAAATTCTGGAAGAGTAATCGGTTCCTGAGCCTATCATGTTAATTCGGAGTATTAATTTACCTATTGTAGTGTTTTGAAAATAATCTGAGTGGTTTCCTTTGATTTAGTTTGTGTTTTTTTTATTTATTTGTCCCGACTGCACCACCATGACATTGTAATTTCTGCTGTAGGTTTTCATTTGCCAATCCTGTAACCCTAAAAGCTGCCTTGAAAACCTATTTGGAAGAACGATTTAGAAACATACAATAAAACTTCTAATGGAAAGCAGCAATGGAAGTACAACTGGAGGCAGAGAGTGGATGGCTGAGGATGCCATTGCTGGAAATGCAGAGGCGGTCCGTGCTCTTCGGGAACTCATTATGTATCCACTCCTGTATTCTCAAGAGTCTCAAAAGCTTGGCCTCAAAGTAATTTGGATACGAATGTTTTTGTATAGATCCCCTCACTAATAATATTGATAGACTTGTTTATTTGTGGGTATCTTTCATTGTCTTCTTATAGTGGCCTCGTGGCTTGTTGCTCTATGGTCCACCTGGTACTGGAAAGGTAGATACACATTTATTCTCTTGGCTATCTATCTCTTAGCTTGATCACCATTTGCATTGTGAGAAAAAGGGATCTATTTCTCAAATATTGTTCCAATAATGTATTACTGGATTTGCAGACAAGTTTGGTTAGAGCAGTTGTTCAAGAATGTGGAGCACATTTGACTGTTATTAGGTACTACATATTGTAATGTTTTATGTGTGTCATGTTTGTTTTTTTAGATCTATACATATAGAGCTATCCCCTAGCAAGCTTTATTTTCTATTTTTAAGCAGATGAGAGACTAAGTACTCATTCCTCCCCAGAATAGAGTCGTGTAATTCGTGTTTAAAATAATGATCCTAGTATTACAATGGTGACTTTTTTCGGGACTAAGGTAGTGTTATGTGCACATTTTAGTGATAGAATCATAGAAATAAAATGTACATTTTGGAGTTAATGAAATGTTTCATTGCTTATCATGATGTTAAAGTGGAGATATTTATGCTAAAACGTTACATAGCTTATGAAGAAACTTGACACACATTAGTTGCTTTGGGAGATATCAAGAAAATATTTGTGGGTCATATGTGAATGCCTTATCTCTTTTCCCATATGAGAAGCTGTGATAAATATATGGGCATGAATCCCAAATGTCATTAATTTTGTGGTGCATCTGTAGCCCACACAGTGTCCATAGAGCACATACTGGAGAAAGCGAGAGAGTTTTGCGGGAAGCATTTGCAAAAGCATCGTCTCATGCAAACCTTGGGAAGCCATCTGTTATCTTCATAGACGAAATTGATGTACTATGCCCTCGTCGTGATTCTAGGTAATCATTCCAGTTAATACACTTTCCAGGGCCATGAGTTTTAACTTTATCTCAAACTTGTATCACTTAATGCTTTCTTAATGTATTATTGCCCATCGTTTGAAATTGCACAATGAGGTTACACAATAGGTAATGCTAAGAAACCGCCTCAAGCTTGCAAAACGCAATTTCAAACATTGTCATTGCCTGAGTAGTATGGAAATCGGAAATATGGTTTCTAAAAAAATACATGACACAAAATATGGGAAAAACACACTAATTTTAAAAAACATGAGGACATATGTATAAATATTTTTATATATGTATACATGTTTTTTCGTTTATATATATGCACATTATTTCAGATAATTTTGTTTGATAACCATTAGTAACTAAAGACTATGTATTCAAGTTTATAAACTATTACCCCCTCTGTCCCGCTAATATTGTCCCATTTTACCTTTTCGGGAAATCCCACTTAAATTGTCCCATACCAAATTTGGTGAAGTTTGTGTGACTCTAAATCATTCTTACTTTATTCTTTTGCTAGGAAGAAATCTTATAAAAATTCACCAGAGTTTTGGAAAGGCACTATTTTCCGTCAATGGACCCCATCAAAAAGAAAAATACTTGGAAATCCAAAATTTCCTAAACGTTATTATTTTGGGAAACAAGCTTTCCAATTTTTCTTAATTATTGAAACACCCCTCAAACTGGAATTTGAAGTTCTGGAGTTTTTGATACGCTTTCCAGTTTGCGGAGCGGGGAAGCATGAGCCATTGGAAGTTTCTGTGCTTCATAGATTATTGCACTTGCACATAATACTTTCATATTCATATTTCATTCAACATACTTGGTGAGTTTGCTATTGCAGAAGAGAACAAGATGTACGTGTAGCTTCTCAGCTCTTTATGTTGATGGACTCTAATAAGTCCGTTTCAACATCTGGATTACATGTTGTTGTAGTGGCATCAACTAATAGGTGGGTTCTACTGATGTTTCAGGGAAGTAACTTTTTGGTTTCCATTTTTTCTTGTGTTGTATTCAAATAAAGTACAAAGAGGTCATTTTGGTTATTTTTATTTACTTTTAAGTTCCATATATTAGTAAATGCGATTTACTCTTGACGGAGAAACCCTTTTTTTCCATCATTCTCTCAAGTAACCTGTAATGGCAATTTGGCAAATCAAACCACCCGATACTATTCCAATTTAGGATATTTTTTTGACATGTGGATTGCAAAAGAAAGCATTATTATTCTATCTTTTATTATTGAAGGTCAATAGTAATTTGGTGGTGTTGCTTTCAAGGGTATCACCTATTTTGTTATTTTACAATCACTATAAATTATTGATATGGAATAAACCCGTACTCATAGAAATCCAACCTTTATATGTTTATATTATTTTAACTACAAAGATGTTGATATGCCATGAACCCATACCCAAAGAAATACAACTTTAATATGTTTTATTCATGGCAGGGAGGGAGGGTGGGATTACTTAAGTTTTTCTCTCTATGGTGAGGGATAAATAGTCGCTTTTTGAATCGAACAAACTGTTGATTTTTACAACCATACTGTAGTGTCTGAGCTAATAATATACACCATTTTTAATTTACAACCATACATCCGTTTTTTATTTTAATAAATCAGTAAGTTTTTTTTGTCACTGTGGTGAAGGATAAACAATCTCTTTTTGAATAAAAAAAACTGTTAAGTTTTTCAACCATACTATGATATCTGAATCAAATTACGCCATCTGTAATTGGTACTAGGATGCACGGAAACGTCAAACTCCCTCAAGTTTCCGTCCCAGAAACGTTTTGGAAACGAGAAACGCCAGGAAACGCCGGGAAACGGCAGGGAAACGCGGAGAAACGTTTCTGATGACTTGGGCTTTTGGGCCGGCTTGGGGAAACGTATCGGAAACGGGAATTCAATTGGGCCACGGCGTTTCTGGTTATTTTTCTCAAAAACAAGGTCGGTCAATTTGGAGCTGGGCAATTCGCGTTTTTTTTAAATTAAAACTAACCTGCGACGCTCGCTTGTAGTCTGCGACTCTAGCATCACTCGACGGCAATTAAGGGCTTGAATACTGAAGCAACGCTGGTGACGACGGGAAACCTAATGCTGAACTGCTGAAGTTGGTGACCGGTGAAAGCCATCTGCTGGCCTGCTGCTGTCTGCTGCTCTACTTCGCTGGACGCGTGGGTTAAAGTGGGTCTGGGTAGTGCCGTATTAGCCTATTTGGGGAAGTTTCAGAATTTTAGATTCTTTAATTTGTGGTAAGTGCTTCCTATTGTCATTAAATATGGAACATACTGATGTTACTGGTAATTTGAGTGTGTTACACAAATTTGCACTTGTTAATTTATCAGAGTGTTTATCACTGAATAAAACATTTACTTTTTCATTTTATTTATTATGCATGTATGATGCATTATAATAAAGAGAATGTTTTGTTTACTTATTTCATAGTTGTTGGACGTAAACATTACTTATACTAGTAAAATTTTAATTTTTAGTTTGACGTTTCCTTGCCGTACCCGTATCTTGATATTTTGAGTTTAGAGTTTCCTCGTCCCCGTTTCCGTCCCCGTTTCCGTTTCCGTTTCCGTCCTGGTGCTACTTAGAATTGGTATACTGTCTTTTAAATGTTTATTTTTAATACCATATAGATTGTTGGTTGCAAGTCTTTTAAGATGAATGTTTTCTGTGATTAATGTTCAGGGTTGACACACTCGACCCGGCTCTAAGAAGATCTGGGCGTTTTGATGCTGAGATTGAAGTCACAACCCCTAATGAAGATGAACGCTTTCATATCCTCAATGTATGGTGCTCATCATGGAGTATTTATTATTATTTGACGAAATTCACAAGAATAATCCCTACTTTTATGGATTCTACAATAATAATCCGGACCAAGGTAGTCAAAGTCGTGAGGCGCACTCAAGGCGATAGGGTATTCCCAGCGCCTGAGGCGCAAGGCGCAAGGCGCAAAAAAGCGCTCGCTTGACTCGGGTGAATCGCACTACTTAGATAAAATCACATATACTGTTCTATAATTACCAAATATGATGTATGTAACATCATATTGAACCAAATGCATAAAAAAGCTAGGATTCATCAAAATAAAGTCATGCAACAACAACAACAACAACAACATCCAAGCCTTAGTCCCAAAAGATATTGGGGTTGGCTAACATGAATCGATACATGATATCACCACCAAAAGGAAGAGTAAGAAAATAAAGATAAAAAAGATAAGCTATTATGGAAAAGATAATATAAAAAGAGATGAATATACCCAAAAATGATAAAATAAAAAGCATAAAAATAATGTTTATATATATAAGCAAAAAAGGATAAAAAACAAACAAGAAAAAAAGAAAAAAGACAAAAAAAAAGAAAAAAAAAGAAAAAAAAAGAAAAAAAAGAGGGGAAAAGATAATACGATATCACTCATCCACACGAATACCCGCCTTCCACTTTGCTCAAAATAAAGTCATGATTCACAAAAATTAGGATCTTTTTTGTTAGCCAAGTAATTGCGTTTCCAAGCTGGGTCTTTTTTGTAGAGTTTTCACTTTCAGCACCACCTGTAGCACTTGTTCCACCTTCCATATCCTGGAAAAGTACAAAGCTGGAATTATTTAATAATTAATACACTGGAAAACATCTTTGGAAAACCACAAAGTAGAGTACATATATAATATATTTATGGGCCAAACACTCGAATATGGGTGCTCAATAATGGAAAAACAGAAAGCTGGTTGTGTGTTTATCATGTTCTTTTAGTTTTTCATCTGTGTTTGTCATCTTGTGTGTTGTAAAAGGTGGTTATCAACTTTGAAAAACATGTTATACTCAGCCCTATGTTAACAGCCATGTTTTACTCTAGTTGGGTCAAACAGAGTAATATCTTTAATATTTATAAAACACAAGAGTGACAGAACTGAGTAATGCATTTAAAGTTAAGAACTTAATATACTCTGAAAGATTATAGAGTAATATCTTTACAAAACCACAAAGCAGAGCACATATGAGTATTATATACATACTAATATACTAATACGTAGTATTATTACTTTATTACACATTTACGCTAATATTTAGACACTAGTGTAATATGAGTATTTGGATGAAGAGGACTGCATGAAAAAGAAAACATACCTTGTTTAGTGCTGAGAGGGAGAGCTGAGTTTGCTTGAGATGATGATGAAAGCTTAAAGAACTGGCTGGTGTAGAGCAGCTTCAAGTGAGGAGAGTGAGGATGGCTAGCGATGATTGCAGTAGTGTCTTGCGCAAGTTTTACGTGTTTACTTACATAGACTCTTGGTTTTACGTCGGTTTTACTGTTTTTACCCAAATATTTTCATGGGCTTAGTGTTATTAAAGATATGGGCTAATTGTACTTGAAAGTTTAAAACAAAAAAAGGCTGTCAGCCCTTTTCCAGCTCAGGCGACCCAGGCGTGCGACTTGCAGCGCTTGATGCGCTTCATGCGCCTTACCCAGGTACGTGCGCTTCACCTATTTCCAAGCGCTGGGGGGTATGCTCGCTGCGCCTTGTGCGCTTAAGCGCTGAGGCGAGCGCTTTTGACAACCTTGATCCCGACTAAGAGTGTCCATACAAATAATTGTACTAGCAATAGTGTCGACAAGAATAAATTGGAATGAATTCAAACTAATGTCTATTTAATACTCAGTCCCTACATTTATTTCCCCATTCTCCACTCTCCGTCTCGGTTAACACTTTTATGTTCCAACCTAGGGAGAACCACATATGGCGGGAATGGTGTTGATATCAAACATGTTTAGTTTGAATTATCCCCGAGAAGAAGAGCGGGGAAGAGAAAAGTGGGAGTAAAGGTTGAAAGTATTAAACTAGCATTAATTTGAATTCACCCCAATTTATTCTTATGAATACCATAGCTAGTTCGGATTATTTTTGTGGACACTTTGAGTAGGGATTATTATTATAGAATCCATAAACGTATGGATTATTCTTATGAACTTCACCTTATTATTTAGGAGGCACCTGTTTTTTATTTTGTCAAAATTTCGAGAAAATATATTAATACAAGAAACATACAAAGGTCAAAGAAAAGATACAACAACACAAAGTCTTGTAAAGAAAACAAAAAATGAAGAGGACAGAAGCTATAAATTTCACGAGAATACATATAATATGTGTCCAGCTTGTGATTAATACTCGACAAAAAGGATCGATGGGTATAGAGCAAAATATATCTTGTAGGACTTATTGAAACTGGGCTGTCAAGTCTAATAAATCCTCAACAACAATAACAATTTTTTATGTTAAAGTTTTATGGAGATTTTGTTGAGTGATGGTGTATTTTATGTTGACACATTGCAGCTTTACACTAAGAAGCTTCCATTGGACCCCAGTGTTGACCTGCAGTCAATCGCTGCCTCTTGTAATGGCTATGTTGGGGCAGATTTAGAAGCTTTATGCCGCGAAGCTACTATGTCTGCTGTCAGACGATCTTCAGAATTAGATCAAGTAGATTGCTCTTGGAACATAACAGTGGATGACTGGAGGCATGCCAAATCTATTGTTGGTCCTAGTATAACAAGAGGTGTAGTTGTGGAAATTCCAAAGGTTTCTTGGGAGGATATTGGAGGACTACAAGGCATAAAGGTTTGTACCTGTTAGCTTACTCGGACCCTGTTTGTTAAAGTTGATAGGCTTATTCTGTATATTCTCCTTTCAGCGGAATAGTCAGAATAAGTAGCCTTTGACATACGTATTTGGCTGAAATCGATTTCTATGCGCCTTTCCTTTTAGAAAGTTCAGCATATATGGTCTAACAACCCTCACCAAACACTCTCTCGCGCTAAATATCTTTATATATAACTTTTTTATTTGATAAATGGAACAGAAAAAGCTACAGCAAGCTGTAGAGTGGCCGTTAAGGCATTCTGAAGCATTTGCGCGGTTGGGAGTATCACCTCTTCATGGCATCCTTCTTCATGGACCTCCAGGGTGCTCTAAAACCACCCTTGCAAAAGCTGCTGCTCATGCTGCACAGGCTTCCTTTTTTTCGTTGAGGTATGTGATAAGAAACCTTACTTTTTATGTTCTTTATGAGAATTGCAACTTTTTTCATATTATTTTAATGATAATGCACCAGTGGTGCAGAATTGTATTCGATGTATGTCGGTGAAGGTGAAGCTTTGTTGCGCAATACATTTCGAAGAGCTCGACTTGCAGCACCAAGCATTATTTTCTTTGATGAAGCTGATGTCATTGCTGCCAAACGGTAATTTGCGCAGGATAAAAAGTTCCCCTTATGTAAATGTGACTTAATTGAGCTTCAATTTCTAGGAATTAGTTGCTTACTTCCAGTGATGACTAGGAGAAACCAATGTTCTGAGATTTGCTTAGGCAGTAGCCAGGCATTTGAGTGATGCTTAGCTTGCCTAGTGTGCCTAAACGAGCAGCTAACCTATGTAAGAGCACTCTGGCTTCCTAATCTGCTTAGAAATGAATTGCTCAAGAGGCGTCTGCATGTCTAACTAGGCCGATTATTAAAACACTGTGATAAAACACTGCAAATGTGTACACCAGGATAAATATTTCTTCATCCCAAAAAAGTTTCTTTCGAACTCTTTTTGTCTCCCAAAAAGAGTAACTTAGACCAAACAAAGAAAATCGTTCATGTAATTTTTAAAAAATAATGTCACATAAAGTTACATATGGTAATATGTTAAATTTAGTTTAAATAAAAAATAAATAGACAACTATAAATATTATTCACGATTTATGAGTACCTAAGTAAAATTAAAAAGTTCTGCATTAACCTTCAGGGGTTGTTCATGTTTCAACTAGTTTGAATCCAGGAACAAAATGTTCTCTGGGGTTACATGTTTGAATCCTCTTGGAGGTCACTGCCAAAAGGTCCGCGGTACCCACCCTGTAAATAAAAGTAATGCATTGTTCGAACATGACTTGTTTATTTATTTATTTAGTTAGTTATTTAGCATGCATATGCAAATTTTAGGGCCTGTTTACTAACAGAGATATTTTCCAGTTTTCTACTTCTGTTTTCGGTTCTCCAATTTTCTGTTTTCATGTTCCAGTTTTTCTATCTCCAATTTTCTGTTTTCATTTTTTAGTTTTCCATTTTCAAATCTGAAAACATGTTCGTCAAATTCTGTTCACCCGGTTCTGTGATCGTCCAGAAGACCGAAAGTGTGGTCTCATTCCGAAATCAAACCTAGTACAACCCAAGTAGGGTACCAGGTCCCATATAGGATAGTCGGGACCAAAACCGATCAGTCTCGGTCGATCTCAACGGTTAGTGTGACAAATTCTTTTCTAATTTCCCTATTGGTTGAAACTCAATGCTCTATTCAAACTCTTCACTTAAAAAATGAATTTTAAAAAAACCGAGACTGCCGGGTCATTGACCGGCCCGGACCGGGTCATTGACCGGCCCGGACAAATATATGAATTTTATCCTATATTTGTTTATTTTTCTATCTACTCTTGTAGTGGTGGAAGTTCTAGCGGAAGCAGCCTTGTTGGGGAGAGACTTCTGTCTACTCTTTTGACTGAAATGGATGGCCTGGAGCAAATGAAGGTGATCAGAAATCCCTTTATTGTTCTTTATTTGCCAAAGTAATGCAACCTAAACACACCTTCCTTTCAATCCATCAGGGGATTCTTGTTTTAGCTGCAACCAATCGCCCTCAGGCAATTGATGCTGCACTTATGCGACCTGGGCGCTTCGATCTGGTATCAGTTATTTCATAGTTTACTTGCGCTTTGATCTGGTATCAGTTATTTCATAGTTTACTTGCACTCTTGAGCACATATATTCTGTGGGAAAATAATACCAAGTACTCAATATTAAGGAAAGTTGCACATTAGTTTAGATACAATGTATCCTTGGTTAAAGTTGCATTCGCACCCATAAATATTAGGTTATATACGGGCATTCTCAGCATTCAGTACTGCTGTGAATGCTGCTCATAAACCTTGATTCTAATCCACAAGTTTATCTCATTGATAACAATGGAAAGACTAAATGTACAAAGTGCTGTTTTAGGCTGCGGCCACTCTTTTCAGCGTATCATCCTTGTAGGCAATTTTTTCTAAACATTAATTTATTTGATTCCGCACATTTTGGTGAGCTAGGGTTTCATGTAATTTTCGGCTGGGTTTGGACGTTTGGTGAAGTTCAAGTTGGGTGCTTTTTTTACGGAGTCCATTATTCTTTCATATTGCCAATAAAATATGTTCAAAGTATTGCTTCCCCATATTTCAGTAACTTCATCAATATATCAGCCGCAACTTAGTTACTTCAACCAAATCCACCCTTACCAGATGAGCTAGAAATCCAAATAGCATATCCCAGATTAGATGATGTCAAACAATCTAATAGAAGAGCTTTAGTGAACTTTCGCGCAAGAGTTTTAGCTGATTTTTCTTGAATACTTCTAGACATAACTCTCTTGCTTTTATCTTACACAGTAATAACTGCATATATCCTCAGGTTCTCTATGTGCCGCCACCAGATTTGGAAGCTCGATGTGAGATCCTTCGTGTGCATACACGTAACATGAAGTTAGATGCCGATGTTGACATTAGGCAAGTAGCTGAGAATATGGATCTCTACACAGGGGCAGAGTTGGAAGGGCTGTGCAGAGAAGCCGGAATTGTTGCTTTAAGAGAAGATATTTCAGCCACTGTTGTGTGTGATCGACACTTCCAAACCGTCAGGCAGTCACTAAAGCCAGCGCTCACCCAGGGAGAAATTGAATCATATTCCTCCTTTATGAAGAAGGAGAAGGAGAAGAACCCATCTCTCTGTTCTTCTAGTACACTTGAATCCTCCAGCTACAATCAGAGCAGCAAGACAAGTCGGCATCTTTTGATGAGTCCTGCTCTTAGAATCTGTATTTTTAGTGTAGTTTTGTATGCTGCTGCAATTTATGCGTTCACACCGGCCGTTCTATTGTCTAAAGAACTAAGTACTTAGAATTTCATTGTGTTTGTGTTGCTTAGTTCTGAACAAATATTATGTACGGTACTATATTATATCTAAAAAAGGTAAATCATTCGTTTCAGTAGTGGTATTCATGTGTAGACTTGGTTAAATTTTAGGCTAAAGAGTCAAACAGACCCTCAAACTAACTTAAAAGGTGCCCGACCGTCACCATTTAAGATAAGAATTCAATCGGAAAGATAGTCAAATGATTTTTTGAAATGTACTGTGTTTAACTATGTAGTTATCTTTAAAAATTCATTTAACTATCTTCCCAGTTGAATTTTTAGCTTAAATTTGGTATGGGTAAACCAAACTTAATGAAGAAGATGCTCAAAATATTTCATCAAAAAATTCCACTAGGAACCGCCCCAAATGGCAACGGCCAGAAAGAGTCTCCAATATAAGGGATGATTTCCACTTTTTAAGTTAGTTCGAGGGCCTATTTCACCTTTTAGCCTAAATTTGACAAACATGTTTATATTCTAACCCTCTTTTGTAGACTACTATTAATGGTGTATACAAAAAAGAATTACAGAGTATATTCTTTTTCTCAGTATTATAGATCAGAATGGTTTAAGAACAGCAGGAATTTCTATAACCTTACTGTTCTAACTTCTAAGTACTCTACAGTCTACATATAAATGTGATACAACTGTATTATTATGTTTTAAAAAGGTGAAACATTCGTCTTAGTAGTGGTGTTGTACCATGTATAAACTTGGTTTAAACTTTATCAAACATACTTGAATTTTAACCCTCTTTGTTGACTACTATTAATAGTGTGTACCAAAAAGATATTACGCAGTACTCCCTCCGTTCTTTATTATTAGTCATTCTTTCCTTTTTGGGACGTTTTTTTTTATCTGTCCTCCTTTCCATTTAAGGAAAGTTTTTACTTTAAATATACCTTTATACCCCCACTTTTATTACCATTACCCCTTTCTCTTTCCTACTTTTTCATTTACCCACTACTCATTACACCTTTTACACTACCCCTACTACTTTACTCTTAAAACCCGTGCCAAAGCCTAAGGGGACTGATATTAAAGAACGGAGGGAAAACTGTCAAATAGGTCCTCAAACTTTCATAAAAAGGTCAATTAAGTCCTTCTATAGGAGGTTGTGTCCAGCCGTCGCGATTTGGGGCAGTTCCCGGTGGAATTTTTTGATGAAATATTTTTTGCATCTTATTCACCAAGTCTAGTTTACTCACACCAAATTTCAGCTAAAAATTCAATCAGGAACACATTCAAATTAATTCTTGAAGATAACTGCGCATGTTTGCGTTCTCGAATTAATTTGAATGCGCTCCCGATTAAATTTTTAGCTGAAATTTGGTACGAGTAAACTAGACTTGATGAATAAGATGCTCAAAAAATTTCATCAAAAGATTCCACCAGGAACCTTCTCAAATCGCGACGACCGGACATAGTCTCCTATAGAAGGACTTAATTGACTTTTTATATTATTTGAGTTTTATACAGATACATTTAATATATCGACACAGGATAAAGAAGCGTTTCATTTTATATTATTTGAGTTTTATACAGATACATTTAATCATTTGCTCATGTATGTGACAACCAGGGACGGTTTGGGGGGGGGGGGCAACAACGGAGAACGCCCTAGGCTCGGAAAAAAATAGAAGAAAAAACATGACAAAAATTTTATTTTATATATAGTGTGAGCAGGCTTTTTCTTATTGTTACGTTCAATTAATTAGGCCTAATGTTTAATTTTGTTGACAATTTGAAAATTTAAAACATCAATAACAAATCTTAAATGAAGCCAAGTTTTAAAAAGAATATATACATTAACTTTAAGTAGGTCGGTTGTAGTTTTTAAAAGCAATATAATTGTTGTTGGATTAATAAAAGGCATGCCTTTTCAGTCTTCACATCTCTTTAGTCTTCAAACCTTGTATTCATTTTAATTATAACATAACAAATATATATAATTATTTTAGAGCATGTTGCTCTCAAATCTCATCTCAATTATTTATTTGTTTCCAAATTTCAATGAACTATATCTGAATTCCTCATAGTAGTTTAGAGGACATCAAATTGGCAGTCTTCTTGCACGAGTCCTCTTGTCGGCCAACATTTTGTCTCCTTAGCGGTTTCGAGGATTCAAACTTTAGAATCTCCTCAGCGGTCAATAAATCATTCTCAACTAATGAATTCAATATGTAGTAATATTTCGTATTTCTTTTCATTCATCCTTTCAGTTGTAACTGAAATAAAGTTTAGTGTTGTTATGTGACAATTTTATTGTTTGTCATGTTTATTAGTGGAAAAGGAAACATTTTGACAAAAGTTTATTGTTTGTCATGACAAATTTTAGACATGAAATTGACAATAATAATTGTCAAATGGAAAAGGAAATGATTTGATTTTTTTACTCTTCATTAAAATTACTACCCCGTCCCAAATTGATTTGCAAATTTGTCTTTTCTCGGTCAAATTGTTTCATTTTATTTGCTTAATTAAGATATCAATTTTTAATTATATTCTAATTTGGAGTTTACAACTTTGAAGAGATTTTAATGTAGTTTCTGAATATGTAAATTTTAATTATTAAAAATTCAACTAATTATTGATAGAGAGGATTGACTTTTATTCTTGTTTGACCAAAAAATGTTGACTTTGTAAAACAAATTGGGACGAAGGGAGTACAATTTAGCCAAGTATGTATATACATGCAGACCCATGGGCCATGGCTTCTCGAAGGAAAGAATAACTACACTTGTACGTTTAAGCTATGATGATTAACGCCCTTGGTGTATAGGTGGAACCGTGGAATGAATCAAAATTGAAGTCCAAATTTCTATGCTATCCATATTTCAATTTTTGAGTTAATTGCTACTCCATCCCCCTATTATTGGGACAAAAAAGACTCGTGCATGCACGATAACGAATTAATAAAATGAGAATAAAATAAGAATAAGTTAGAGACACAAAAATATTATTAAATACTCTATATGATAATAGACAAATTTAATAAGGCAGACAAAAAAAATAAAACACTGATATTGGGACGAAGGAATTCATCCAAAAATCCAGTTTTAGAGTGCAATCTAGAACGGGTGCTTTGGAGCAAAATACAAGTAAAAAAACAAGATAGACTGAAAACATAGAGCCATAGTACCGGAATCATTCTTAACATTTGTAAATGAAGGCAACTGAAATAGAAAGCACAATGAAGCCCGAATTAATTAAAACCCATCTTAAATGATGCCAAAATAATTGGCATACACTTCATTAACATGCCCATCAGTTGACTGATCGTGACATCGTGTACTAAATCATCAACCAAATTGGCAGAAGAAAATACCCCTAAATCATCATTGCCAACATCTTCATCGTAAAAACTGCAGGTAACCCAGCTATCAAAATCTTCGACGAACACATTCCCAGGGGTGGTGTCACAGAAATCATCATCTGGGTCAAAAATGTCATCCCAAAAGCTAGCACACTCCTCATCAAATTCCAGATCAAAGTCATCCCAAAACATAGCCATTATAATGTGTAATTACTTTGCGAAAACTTATACTCCGTATCAGATAAATGTCCTTACACAAGTACAAGTGCAGGAAGCAGAGAGTTTCTTGGAGAAGAAGAGAGCTGATAGATTGATCGAATGAAAATTGTCTTAACCTTATTTACAAACTACTCAGGGTATTTATACATTATTAGATAATATACAATAAAGCCCAAAGATAACATGTAGGCCCAAGACTATAAAGCTAAGCAAATCCAGTCCAGGTTCTTTATTCTTGATACGCCCCCTCAAGAGGAGCATGGATGTCTAACATGGTCATCTTGACTGCAAACTGGCTGAATAAAGGATTTCCAAGCGGTTTTGTATAAATATCTGCAAGTTGAAAATTATTCTTAATATGAATCAAAGTAATCAATCCAGAATTAATTTTTTCTCTAACTAAATGACAGTCCAGTTCTATGTGCTTGGTTCTTTGATGTTGAATGGGATTATGAGCAAGATGATAGGTAGATTTGTTATCAGTGTAAATAATAATTGGTAAAGAAATAGGTATATGTAAATCAGAAAAGATGTAAGATAACCATTGGGCCTCACAGACTGCATTAGCAGCAGCCCTATATTCTGCTTCAGTAGAAGATCTACTGATAACCTGTTGTTTCTTAGATTTCCAAGAGATTAAAGAATTACCAAGGTAGAAAGCATAACCTGAAACACTTCTCCTAGTGTCTACACAGGCTGCCCAATCTGAGTCAGTGTATCCTTGAATAGAAAAATCAGAATCACAAGGATAAAATAAACCTTTACCTGGAGAATTCTTCAGATATCTGAGAACTCTATGAGCTGCACTCATATGAACATCAGTGGGAGATGCAAGAAACTGACTAAGAACTTGGATACTATAAGCAATATCAGGCCTGGTTACAGTTAAGTAAAGCAATTTACCAATAAGGGTTCTATAAGTTGTAGGATTTTCTAAAACAGTTCCATTATTTTTAGACAGTTTTAGTTTGGAATCCATAGGAGTAGTATAAGGTTTAGAATTAAGATAACCATATTCAGTTAAAATGTCTAAAGTGTATTTTCTTTGACAAAGATTTATACCTTTTTTAGATCTAGCAATTTCAATTCCTAAAATATATTTTAATTCTCCAAGATCTTTAATAGTGAATTTGTTATTTAAAAAGGTTTTAACTTCAGTGATTTCTTCCATACTGTTTCCAGCAAGAATTATATCATCTACATATATTAAAAGTACAGTAAGAGAGGAATGAGTGATTTTAGTGAATAAAGAGAAGTCAGCTTGAGACTGAGTGTAACCAAAAAGTTTAAGGGAGTCAGAAAGCTTACAAAACCATTGCCTAGATGCTTGTTTAAGGCCATAGAGGCTCTTAACAAGCTTGCAGACTCTGTTGTCAGTGGAGGGCAAATAACCTGGAGGAGGCTGCATAAAAATATCTTCATTTAAATCACCATGTAGAAAAGCATTGTTTACATCAAGTTGATGTAAAAACCAGTTTTTAACACTAGCAATGGCCAAAACAATTCTGACAGTGGTTAATTTAACAACAGGAGAGAAAGT